CTACTTATGCCTGTTAAGGAAATTTAAAGATAATTTAAGTTAAAGTTTTACGGTTATGATAGACATGATCTACCTGCCTTTTAGCTACAGACCCTGAAGGTATAGAGAAATATTACAGTATTGTCTGCAAAACAGCGTTATTGTATAGAGGACGTTCAGGAAATATTTCGCCGAACTGAGTTTATCATATCTCTGTTGTATTGCATATCTCTGGTTCCCTCAGAGTCAAAATGAGGTGAGGCAAAACTGAGCCATTGAACGTGTCATTTTTAGCGTACATCGAATTCGTTGTGCGTCGGCTTCATCTTGGACCTGCAACTGGCCACCGCGTTATGTGGAAGATAAGATGGGTCATGGAGGACCTTCTTGGTAAATGTAAATGTCTCTGTGGCGTTGCTAACGTCAGTCACAAAAGCTGTCACAGCTCGTTCATGTGGCAGGCCAGCGATTTTAGCAGAAAGTATGAAGCAGCGATGAAGAGCGACATAGTTTTAGCTGTAAGTGCTCCAAAAACCCCTTTGCCGCATATGTCACTGCTGGAACTATGCACGATTGCCAGAACTACTAGCAAAGTTACGTCACAGCTCCTGTTTTGTGCAGACTTTGGACGCAAAAGGACGCATTTCACACTTTCGAGACGATCTGCTGAACGTGATTCGAGCAGGTAAGACAGTCGTTCAGATGTAATCCAGGATAAAAGAACGACTTACTCTTTTCAAAGATAGACTTTCCAACCGCTCAGAACGCCTAGGCCACATCCTAAGGCACGTATAATCGGGTGAGGCACTTCTTGACGCTCAGTCTCAGTCCATTAAATGGTGACCAGCTCTCTGTCTTCTCCACCTCTATAAGGTAAGCGGACAGATTTGTCATGTTTGCTACCGTCGCAATCAATGCTGTGTACTTAGCATATTTCAAGCAGGGGCTAGATGAACCGACCTGACAATCAGAGGTTAAGATGGAAAAGGCAAAATAAAAAAAACCGATACTTGAAGAACACTAAGGTTATTCGCAAGCATCTTCGATCGATTCTGAGGCAAACGAACGAACTACGATCCATCCGACAGGTAAGCTGCACGACACCTTACGACATACGGATCACGCTTGGACTGCCTCAAGATATTCAAAAGCCGGTAACGTGGTGCAGTATTGAAAGCGGACATGAAGTCGAGAAAGGCACAGTGCACCGTTCGCCTTCCTCTGCCCAACCCCTGGACGACTTGGTGGATTAGTACAGTCTACCCGTCTGTGGTGCCGTTAATCGTATTGAAGCGGATCAAGCCACGATTGCTAAGGTGGCGGATAACAAAATATTCTCGAAGTACTTGGCCACACTGGAGATGATAATCACTGACCGAAAATTACTCAGCTCCGATGCGCTCAGTTTTCTCGGAGCTGGAATAATTCTGGAGAGCAGCCAAGAGCCTGGAAGCTGTCCTCAGCGCGAACACCAATTGAAGATCTTGGTGAGGACATGCTCCAGTTCAATGGCATAGTGCTGGAGCACTGCAGAAGCGACTCCATCAGGGCCTGCGGCACCTAGGAACGCAGCGTCACTGCGATTACAGTTCAGCTGACGATCAACAGGCAGTCTTCACACCACGAGATGAACTGGTCAATTAACATGTCTGTCAACACGTTGAATGCAAAAGAGCAATGTACCGGTTGCAGACCAACATCTGTTTGAAAAAGTTGAGCAAAGTGGAGCGACTTTGGACCGTCCTGCAGTGGATTCCAGCCAACGAATAGATTAATTTTGCGGTGGTGGCCTCACACCATTCTTGGTGTATTCAACTGATGACCATACATCTGAGGGCATTATGCCTGGCTGATCTGTCCGTTCGGGACGTATAGCAGTGAGGAATCGTTGCCAGCTCACTGCCCACGTCTGGGCTCAGCCACGATTGTTGGCATAGGAGAATCGCTGAGTGATCCGAGATGTTTCCAGAGAACGACAGTTGATGGAAATTACCGTAAGAAACGTCAGAGACACGGATGTCCATCCCCTTAACGCTGACCTCCAGCTTCCGTGCGAACCTCGGAAACGCAGCCGGCCTCGCGCAATATTCGTTGGTCTCAACCGATTGACGACCGTGTTTGATGGTCGCGTACCCACACAAAGGCGGAGCATTTCCACTCTTCTTGCTACCGAATAAAAGTTTCAAGCGAGAACAACTTTGACTGCAGTTGTCAGGAATGTGTCCAATCCGAACAGTACAAAAAGAAAAATTACTTTAAGCATGTTCCAGATTCTAGAGTAAAGACCAGCCGCCATTCCAAGCACTAGCGGGGTCAGAAAGCCAACCGACCACGCAATTGTAAATACATCGCAAATTGTTGCAGAATATATGAATATAAATATTATTTACAGAACCTGCACATTGCAATGTCTATAACGTATAGAAAGCAGATATGGCTGGCATGCCGGTAACATGTTGAAAAGCACAAAGTTCCTCATGTGCGTTAAACAAGGTAAGATGGAAAGGGGATACTGGAAAGAAGTTGAAAAACAGTGTCTAAAAGCTGTCCGACACGTTCAATCTGAACAGAAAAAAAACTGACAATAGGCTGAAAGCTGTAACAAAAAATGTCGCATGCACCTGCTATGAAACTTTAAAAAGAGGTTCCTTTCTCTCTGGTCTGTTGACAAGCGGATCTGCGATGAAATTTATAACACCTTGATCTTCGATGAACTCGTTCTGCAATAAAGTACTATCAAAGCAAATTCATGAAACGCAGTTACGTAAATATCTTTTATTTTCCACTCGTTACACTGATCTAAGATTTGTAGCCGCCTAATACAATGCGCCGGCATGTCGTCCATGCACACCGATGATGCATATCGAGCATAAAAGGCAGAACTGCGTTACATAGTTAGGTGGACACGTACAAAGTTGGACAGTCTTTCAACGGCAAACTTATACTCGGCTTTCCCGGTGGATTGAAAGTTGGACTTAGAACCGAGAGGTCCCGGGTTCTGAATCCTGTCCGGTTCGCACTTTTCCTTCTTCCGATATAGATAACTGGGTACCAATTTATCGGAAGGAAACAGGAAACAAACTGTCATACCTGTCACATAATTGTAGACTCTGCTTCCTGGAAATGGGGATCAGCTCCACCAGTTACGACGGTTACTAACTATGAAAAGAAGGGCGGCAGAAATGGTTTCATCATGAAAGCGTAAAGAAGATTGACATTCAAATGATTTAAACTTTGTTACGTTCATATTAGGGCGGCATACCACCGCAACAGCTCGCAGGCTTTCTGCTCTATATCCATATGCTATATGGTTGCCCCCAAATAGAAGTGAGGTGAATTCGTTATTTAAAGGAACGAGCCGTGAAATCATTAGCACCTACATATCGCTTAGTAATCAGTTCCGCTCACCTGAACGAGAATCGATCACCATGCCGTTGCCATTTTTTTTCAGCAGCGCCCTTAGGGAAACTAAGAATTCGCATTGGCAGCAATCAAACAACAGAACATTAAAACAATGTCAAAGATTAAGCCACTTCTTACCTTTACTAGGAGTACTGATAAACAAATTGTTCCTGCAGATCAATCTGTAGGGTTGAGGGAACCTAAAAGTCGTCGCGGTGGTGGTAACGAACGTTGACAAAAAAATGTCCGCTGCGTCGGACGAGCTGATGTCCATGCTGGTCAGATACAGAACGTATGCCATCGATGGTGTGAAGAGGCGCTTGTTGGCAGAGGTTTTGTTGCTATTCCGTGGTGTTCTACAGTAGCTTACCTTAAGTGCTTTTGTAGGACAGTGCATGCTTGCAATACATTGTTCAGTCACTGACGAATCATGAGCAGTCGATCGTTCAGGCGGCATTGGAAGTTTTGGAGCTGATTTGTAGTGACGTTAAAACTCGTTCGTTTGTCCACTTGATTTCAGGTGTATTTGAAAAGGTGACCGAAGCAGCCATCGCGTGAGTGAAACCGTTGGTTCGTATTGCCGATCTTATAAGCTGTTATACTGTGATTCATCTCGTTTTACTCATTCCAAGTATGCTTTGGCACATTCCAATGGTCTTTGTTTATACGGGAAACGATTTTGTTGACTGTCATATTGGATCGTTGGATTCTGCAGGGGTAAATACCGAATGGAGTCGAACCAAACTTCTCGCGGTATGAGGCGTGTGCAGCTTAAGGAACATTCCCATCAGCGGTTACAACCACCCGGTAGAGGATTTTGCCCGACTTCTGCCAAGTGCCGCTGAACGACTTGTGAGGAAGCTGTGTGATTAGGAATAGACTACTTGACCGGGGCATTTATTCCGGCTAACTAACATTTTAACTGTTAAGGTTAACAGTGTGCAAATACTGTGCCCGAAAATCACCATGAAGTGGTTTAGCGAGAAAGACTACATTCGGAATACTTTCATGACGCGTGCAATAAATTGTACGCAGGTTACAGGTAATCCCCGAAAGCCTTCGCGAGATGAGGCACGGCTCTGTGGTGCGGAGGAAAAACCTCCGGGGGAAAGTGGCTGTGCCGATCCCACGGAGGTAAGACTCTCAGCAGATCAGAACTAACAGAATCATGACCTGTAACTTGCTTTGATCTGTGTGAAGGGCAAGCCGACGTTTCATTCAAGGCGCTCGGCGAGCATGGTCACTAGCCAAAACCGTTTGCCAAGATAAAATTGAATGGAACGCAAACAAAATGGCCCCTAGTCCCCTGGGTGCAGCTCGAGCCAGACTACGACTGAATATATAGACCTCGACAGTGACGGATTGGTACCCAGGAGCTGCAAGCGTCCAAATGGAAGATTTAGGTTCAGGTGGTACGATGAATTAAGTGATAAGGAAGGTTTTAGCGACAAATCGCACGAGGCTGATGAACAGTGACATCGAGACTAGGCAGTGGTGACCCTCGTTACTTAGAAAGGTAAGCTAGTTATTGCTATCGTAAGCTGGCTACGCTGGATCTGCCATGGGAAAAAAAGCTCAACGAGCACGTAGGATAGGTACTTCAAACATCTACTATCTGAGAATAGAAGAATGGGTAGACCGAAGGAAAGGTGACGTTAAGAACGATATGAAACTACTACAAAGTTAACCGAACAGTTTACCAAGGATTGAAGAATGTCGAGGAACGTCGCTTGAAGAGCGGGCTCCTGATAAAGGAAATATTCTAGGAAAAAGAAAAAAAGTACAGTGGTTAAGGGGATTTTTGTCGTTGATCCTTTCTCGTTTTGAGGTAGCTGAACGAGTTCCTCCATGTGTAAGAAGCACGTTGCAGACCACGTGCAGTAGTGGTCACCTAATTTAACTTAGCCACTTTGGCGTATGACGGCGTCAAGAGTACCATAAGATCCATGAAACAAGGCTCGAGAAACGACGTCAATAATGAATTTTTGAAGGAGGCCTGACTGCCAGCAGTTACAGTCTTCTCTTTCTTTTGTATGCACCAAATCTGACAGTCGTTTGATGGAGTTACCTTGAATACTTAGGTTATTCTTATCCAGCTTGTAAATGCAGTTTTATAATATACGACAGTTACGTTTTGCTATTCAGCACCGAACGAGACGGAGAAGCTAATACGTATGTTAATCTATATTAAGAACAGTTTAAAGCGTGTTCAGATTTATTATTCAAAGATACTTGGATTAACGTTAAATGGAGTTGGATTCTTTTATACGGGAATTTAGTTCAACACTCGACAGGTACTTTTCAGGATTTTTCCGTATATAAAATTTGTTATGTACAAATTCTCCAGCGTTTTAGAACATGATCGATCCGTCTTCATGGAGCGACATATTACAGATATGTTACACTAACTGTCTGACAGTCAAACGTTGGGGAACTTAAACATAATAAATTTTATATGCGGAGTAATCCCGTAAAGTACTCGTGGAGATACTGAGACTTTCAGAATTCGTAATGGTATGCTTTCGCAACAAACATTTGTGGTGATGCACATTATATATATTGTTATTGTGTACACAATGTGTTATTGTTTGACGTTAAAGAACGAGCACCGTCTTGAGTTCGGAAATAAAAAATCTTTAAATAAAGCTGTTTACGGCTTTAAATGGTTTTTAATGTCATTTACATTGACTTATCATTTAGGATTGGATGAGTTTTGTTTTTAAATACAATTTTTTTGTGTACAGTAAGCTTTTCATAAACAATTAATTTTTATTGGAAGTCTGAAGCTGTTTCGAATTATTTCCTTTGCGGATGCAGTGAACTGCAGTATGCTATCTCGCGAACCATTAATTTAGGACTTACGGTCAATGAGGTTTGTGAAAAGTACTGATAACAAAATAATGGCAGTCACTTTTCGTTCGCTGAGCGATCGGTAAAATTATTCTCCGTTTAATGATTAATTAAATCAGGCGGCGATTAACATATTCTTCCTTTTATTTCGTCGGTGAAACTATCCTTTCACCGGGAACGAGGATTATAATTTATTTCTTTATTTCTTATACCATATATAAACACTATAAAGATTTTCAACTTTTATTCAGCTTATGGTGTTGCCTTTCAGAAACGGTTCGCATTCGACCATTATCCAGTTATCTTCCCGAATATGCCATCTTCTTTCTCCTAGCGGCAACCACAGGTAAACTTCTTTGCTGTCATTTTGAAGAAATATTAAGAGTGGTGTAGTGCATATGTAACTACCCTCATATTTTCCTAAGTCCAGTCTTCCACGTCGAGGAGGAGTGAAAGTGTGGACAACCTGCCACAGCGATGTACGTAGGTCTATTTGCTTGGGCCACTACTAATATTCTGACTGTATGTCATAGATCCAGAGTAGTTGTTTTGCTGCACAGTGATAACGAAGTTCTACCACTTGTAAAGCCTTCATTGTTCACATAGACGATAATGCAAAATATGAAACATTGTTAAGACCTTTCGGTGAGGAATGAAACTTTTGCCACGAAAGTGAACAATGCCTAAGATATGAGATGCCGTATCATAACCTTCAGATATCACGGATCTGAACTGCCTTGCTATTCAGGCGTTAATGCCATAAAATGACTATGACAAATGTTGCAGCAATGGAGTACGGACAGAATCCGAAGTGTGTTGTAAAGAAAAATTAGTCTGAGCGAAGACGCTTAATCCCCTAACAGAGAAACTAATTAGCGGGCTTGTTCATATTTATTCCCAAAGCATGATTGGCATAAGGCAATAT